GTTCCAGGATCTCAGTGGTCAGGCACTTGAGCGCAGTTGGCAGGTAGATGAGAATGCGTCCACAGAACATCCTTTTCAACTCATTTGAGATTTGGGGCTGTAGTTGAGATATTATTTAAACTTTTGAGATGTTAATCAGCTGCTGTTGGTTGTAGAAAACTGCCTTGTTGCCATGGTTACGCATCATAACAAATGTCCAAAACTAAAAAAAGTTTCAGTAAAAATCCTTCCTGCTGCACAGCATCTGATACCAGAGGAAACAACCATCCAAAAAATGTGATTTACATCCAGAAAAAGAAGAATTAAAGTTTCCAAAAGCAAAATCTCAGAATGAAAGTAACAGAGCTACTCCAACATGCAGCCACCTTGAGCTGCGCAATTCTAGAACTTAGTAACTTAACGATCCAAAAACACAATTTTGGATGGTTAAAACAGATTTTAAATAAAAGAGGAAAAAAGAGAAAGGGAGGGGTCAGTGAAGAGCACCGGAGTTGAGTCTTTTGTCATCCAGTGTCTTTAGTAGAAAGAGAGAGACACGAAGAAACGATAAAGCTGATAAATGAAGATGAGGTCGATAATTTTCATTTATGTTATGGTATGGTATGGTATAAAGTTTATTCATTTTAAAAAAGTACAAAACAATTCCATAACAATATAAAAAAAGATACAAAAGATTTAAAATGAAAGGCAGCAGAAAGAAGAAAAAATCTTATTATATCTGCCCCTTTTTTCAAACAATTATTTCAATCATAATAATTTTCAAGTACCAGAACAAAATGAATAACTCTTTCTAATTTTTCTAATTTTAATACAAAACACACACTAAGCTACTTCATATATACTTTTTTAACAATTCAGCTTTGATCTTTTTCTTAAATGTACACATTGACATTGCATCGCATTTATCATGCGATTAATTGATTTATTGTTTACTGCAACAGGCCTACTATTTGTTTTTGATATAATCTAAATAATCATATAAATCATGTTCTAGAATTGCACCACTCAAGGTGGCTGCATGTTGGAGCAGCTCTGTTACTTTCATTCTGAGATTTTGCTTTTGGAAACTTTAATTCCTCTTTTTCTGGATGTAAATCACATTTTTTTGGATGATTGTTTCCTCTGGTATCAGATGCTGTGCAGCTGAAAGGATTTTTACTGAAACTTTTGTAGTTTTGGACATTTGTTATGATGCGTAACCATGGCAACGAGGCAGTTTTCTACGACCAACAGCAGCTGATTAACATCTCAAAAGCTCAAATAATATCTCAACTACAGCCTCAAATCCCAAATGAGTTGAAAAGGATGTTCTGTGGACGCATTCTCATCTACCTGCCAGCTGTGCTCGAGTGCCTGACCACTGAGATCCTGGAACTAGCAGGAAACACGGCTCATGACAGCAAAAGGACAGGATCGTCCCTCAGCACCTACAGTTGGCTGTCTGCAGCGATGAGGAGCTCGGCAGACTGCTGGGAGGAGTGGCCATCACACTGGGAGGAGTTCTGCTCCGCATTCAGGCGGTCCTACAGCCCGGGGGAACTGAGAGGTCAGTCGAGTCTGGGTGGACGGATCGGAGGCATCTGCTGCCAGTTTCTTAGGATCCACTGTGAGATGGACTTTTACAAGAGATCCTTCCAGTCTACAGCCATCAGCATCTATAACATCTCTTAATGAAATGAGGATAATGAGTTACAACAACAAATAATTTCCCTCTGGGATTAATAAAGTATTTTTGAATTGAATTGAATTTTGAATTGAATTGAAATAACTGTGTAATATGAAACTGACATGAATAGAAAAGCTAAATTAGCATTCACATGAACTGCATTAACGTCAAGACTGATTAGTTGTTAGATAATCTGAAATAGGCCATTTAAAGAACTATCTACACCAAGTAAGATATTTACAATTCATAACATTTCCCTTCTTCCAAAATTTTGGACTATCTCTTTAATGCAGCCCCTCATGATTTAACTCCACAACTTTCATGGCAACGTTAACTGGTGTGCTGCTCATAAAGCTTCAGTCGTGTTTTGTTTACCTGAACTCACGTTTAACCTAAATTTAAGGACCAGATGATCTGTCATTAAGTCATGATGAAAAGGCAGATAAACTTTTCTTTTCTCATGATTGTACACCCATGATTCACAGAAAGGAACGACAAAAAGTCTACAGGCGCCTTTAGTCACAAACAAAAAAAAAAATCTTCTGATGTCGGAAGCGATCTAATTTCTCAACAGTTGGAAAGTGAACTAACAGCAGAAGAGATGAAAAAAAAAAACTTACAGGCCAATATGCCCATTTACGGCTAGTCGGAATTCTACAAGCTTGTTAAATAAATCAGAAGGTCTCCAGAGAGAAAAGCAAAACACGTGAAGGCTCCTTTCAAACTCAGCTTCAGCAGGAAAGCAAACAACTCGGGTCCCATTGTGATTCTCTTCAGGTATGCACAGACTCCTCTGTATCCACCCAGTAAAACATCTGCTTTATGTGATGAAACGTGAAGCTGAAATATTCACCAGCACCGTGCAGCCAAAGACAACAAGCTCAAGATTTCATCTGGATTAACAACCAACGCTAACAACTGGACAGAACCTCAACCTTCTTGCTTCATCTTCTGACAGTTCCATCATTTAAGATGTTTTAAGGTACAGATATGACATCCACAGCTAAAGTATTCCACTCTGCTCAATCGTTGCCTGTGAAAAGCTATTCTAACCCTCTGAGAGTCTCAAACAGTGCATGCCATTCTTTATTCTCCCCTAGCAAACATGTGGCCTATTTATCTTAATTTTTTTCTTTGCTCTTGTTGGCTGGAAGCGGAAATTCCCAGCAGCAGCAGCATTTAGCTCTCAGATTGACAGCTATATCAATAACTTAAAACACAGTGGTGACCTTCTCTAATGTTCTGAATGTGAACAAAATTCCATCTTTAGGTTAGAAAAAAAAGATTATTAGGAATCTATCTGTATGGCCCTGCGGGTTAAACCAGTATTAGTTAATTTTCCTTACAGACTGCTTAAAATACATTCTGCCTACAATGAAAGCAAACAAATGAGCGCTCACATACTGTGCGCACACACACAGACACAAAAAGACATCATTCGGATGGATCATGGAGCGTGCACGTTTGCTCCTGCATCACTTTGTGCTTTTCAGAAGGGATCAGAGGAAGAACTCCATATGCATCATCAAACTGAGAGAAAAGCATGGAAAGGGTGAATGACAAACAGAAAGCAAAAACAAGCAGTGGGAGCAATTTTTTCCATTCAAAGACCAGTAAAAGATATGAAGCAGGAGCAACATGGAGAAACAAGACCACAACATATACTCGTGAAGATCGAGGCGAACGTAAACGTTACAGAGGTGAATGTTGTTTGCCCCAATTTTAAAACATCTGAAGCAAAACACATCACAGGGAAACTTTTTAGAGTGTACAAATGTGTGGCAGCTACAAACAAACCACCTGGAAAAGGTTTTGATCTTCTTTCAAATCTGAAGGATCCAAGAGGAATAAACAAGCAGCTAGCAGCTCACCTCAGAGACTGACATGTGCCTTTTGGGAAACATGGGAACATTCCTCCACTGTAAGAGTGTTTCAAACCCTCAGAGTTGACTAATTCAGAATGGGTGGGAGCTTTGTCTGATTAAAAGGCAGCAGGAGATTCAACTCACAAAGAGAGACTTGACTAAAATGCAGGAAAACAACAGAAATCGAGTTTAAGATGGAGTTAAAGATGGAGTTATAGATGGAGAAGGATGACTCGCTGTGGCGAGCCCTAAAGAGGGAAAAGATGAAAGAAGAAGAACAAGAACAAGAAAAAAAAACAAGAAGAAAAAGGAAAAGAACAAGAACAAGGACATGAACAAGAAGTAGAAGAACAAGAAGAAGACACTTCCGTCAACTATAAAAATAAAAGTGGTCAACATCGTTTTACCTCAGCACCAACAAATCAGCATCCCTCTGTGTTAGCATAATGTAACTAGCCTTACAAAGAAAACATCACAACAAAACAAAAGAAACTCTCCTTTAAATTAATGTTCAGTCAATAGTGGTTATGCACACTAGTGACTGCTTGAACACACAAACCTAAACCACTCAACATGGCTGCCACTGCTAGCTGTAAGATTGGGAGTAAAAATGGAGAATCTCATTTCATAAATTAAAAACTCTTTGTGTCAATAGAGATACTTGCAACCTATCAAAGAGTATGTGAATGACATTTAAATTGAACAAGAAATCACAGTTCTTGATGCTTAAAAATGTGACAATTCAAAAAGCCAAGCCTAAAGAGACCTAAAAGCTCTTTGATGCCAGACTGACCTTAAATGTAAGGGAAAAACGTGTGCAGTTGCATAAACTGTAAGTAAGAGTTGCTAAATGGTCCATCTAATCTATTCTTTGCATTAATATTTAATAGTTATGACTGAGTTTTGCTAAATCTGTGCATTCACTTGCATCACAGCTTTTCCCCATTTCAGGTCTTTTTGTTTTGTTTGGTCCAACTGTCTAAAGCAGTGGTTCCCAACCCTGGTCCCCGAGGAACACCACTCTGCATGTTTTAGCCGTTTCCCTGCTTCAACACACCTAATTCAATGATTTACTACCTCATGTTCTGTTGAAGCATGTTAATCACCAAATCATTCAAATCACGTGTGTCAAAGCAGGGAAACAGTTACAACATGCAGGATGGTGTTCCTCAGGGACCAGTGTTGGGAACCACTGATCTATCTAAAGTCTTTGAGTCAATGGTCTTTTGCCACTCAGCTGAATGTAGATAACGGTAGAACAAAGGTAAAAGAGTGTAAAGCGGTGTAATCAAACTTGGAAATATTTCTGTTTACTTCATGTACGTGACCTGTATTATTGGAACTAGCTTCACTACATAACACCACTGCAAAACCACTTCATGGTGCAGAAAGTCTGGAAAGTGAATTAAAATGCAAAAAAATAAAAAATGTAAGGCCTTAACACGATCTGATTTTGTCTCGTCTCTTACCTGGACTTGTCCTTTGCCCATGATCTTGTCCACAATCTCGTTGTCGTCCTTGTTGAGCATGCTTTTGTCGTAACACTTTTCATAGCATAGGATCCGCAGGTACTGGGAACCCTCCAACTCAATCTCAAACTCCTGTCAAACAACACAAAAGAAGAGAAGGAGAGTGAAATTGTTGTTTGGGTGCAGAAAGCGTTGCTGTAAACAATGTGTTTGTGGACTGACTTCATTCCACTGCGGCTCTGTGGTGTCTCTGAACACTCGGGTCTTGGCTTTGCTGACAAAATAACCAAACGAATCCACTTCGAGAGTGCAGTATAAATCTGAAAGAACACACAGAAGGTGGAAAAGGTGGATAAAGAAATAATCTGAAAGTGGAATCAAAAGCTCACCAAGCAAACATGAATTGTTTAATAACTGCATATTTACATGTAATATGTTTAAGAAACATATCCTGTCTCATGCATAAAAGTCAAACTGCAAAGAACTGATTCAGCTTCTCACATAGAACTCAGCACATCTTCAGGCTGACAATATTTCTTATGAATGTTTAAAGACTAAAGTTGTGTTTTAGTAGCATTAAACCTCAACATTCAGCTTCCACTTATTATTATTATTTTGTTAAATAATACAGACTTTTTCATGATAGTCCAAGTTACTGCATAGTCTTTAAGGTAATGTCTAAATAGCTAAACTAAACTAATTTAGTGATGCACAAGAATGCTTTTATCCCTAGTTAAAAGTAGAAAAAGATCAAAAACCTTTATTTAAGAAAATAAAATCATGACTAAATTTACAAAGCAGAAAGTCACTTTTTAAAGTTTGCAATTTTGCAGAGCTGAATGTAGAATTTCGCTGCAACTTCTGGTCATCGTGTTAAAAAATGAACATGCCACAACTTAGCCAAATGTTTTTAAGGCAGCAGGTTTGAGTAATTATTGCAGACACGTTTCATTACAGTGGCTGTGAGTAAAGAGAGTTATCCATCAGTAAAAGTGCATTTAAAAGATGAAACGAGAAGTTGCAGTCCACCCAAGAGAAACAGATTGTTAATTTGTCAGTATGTTATGGTTTGTCAGCTGACAAGCATCAATCTCCTGCCTGTGAACACATCCAGCTCTCCTCTGCTCCGAACATCCTTATTCCACAGTCGTCTCTCTGCTGGGACTCGGTCCTAACTGGGAGCAATTAAACTCTGTTAATGTGTTTCTTTAAATGCTGCCGTAGCTGCTGCTGCAGAGCGCGCTGCAGGCTGTCCGTAAAGTGTCTATGGTACATCCTGCAGCCTGGACCGGGTCCCCTGGGGTTCCGTTGCTCTGACAGCATGACAGATGAGTGTGTGGTTTGACCTCTCACTGGGACGGTCACAATGATTGGTGTGAGGGAGGATGGGATGCAGGTAGGGGGAATAAACTGAGTGCTTGAATCACACATTTATATAAAACCCCAATAAAATGAAAATAAAAACAGAATGAAATTATTGCAATTCTCATATATCTACATTTTGTCACAGTGGAAGATGATGAATACACCAAACGTTCAGGAAACTCCACCATTCTTGGGAAAAACAAATTCATTTTGATTTGATGGCTGCAACACATTTCGAATAACAAGGACACGGGCAACAAAACGATGAAGTAAGTGGTAAGAATACCAACACTCATGATGGACTCTGACACACACACAACCTAAATGCACACAACTACTGTGTTGTACTGTTTGTGACTTCTTTACTTGCACGTTTTTGCAATCTGCTCAAGTTTCTGCATTTTTGCACCTTACACAGTTTACATCTCTGCTGCTATAAAAACAGAAAAACTTTGTGCTGCTAACCACATATCAGAACATGTTTCTACCTCATGTACCACCTACACATGTACTAATCCACACGTGACTCTAGCCTTATCTTTTAATTACTTGTTTAGATTAGGTTAGATGTATTTTTATATTTATTATAGGTCTGTTTGTATTTATTGTACTGTTGTGTATCTGCACTGTGTGTTGTGTTGTTTTGCATGTTATGTTCTGTGTTGCACCATGATCCTGGAGAAACGCTGTTTCGTTTCAATATGTACTTGTATATAGCTGAAATGACAATAAAACCTCGCTGACTCTGAAACAGCTGGAGGTGTATTTTGTAACTACTTGGCAACCTGCCAGTCAGAGAGCTGGGTATAAAAAGAGACTTTAGAGAAGCTGAATCTCTCAGAAGTAAAGATGGGAAGAGGTTTGCTAGTCTGTGAAAATCCATCCATTATCTTTTACCCGCTTCTTCCATTTTGGGTCACGGGGGTCGCCGGTGCCCATGTCCAGCAATCACTGTGCCAGGGGCGGGGTACATCCTGGATGGATCGCAAGTCCATCACAGGGACACATAGAGACAAACAACCATTCACTCTCTCACTCACACCTAGGGACAATTTTAGAGTTGCCAATCAGCCTAACATGCATGTTTTTGGTCTGTGGGAGGAAACCGGAGCACCCGGAGAAAACCCACACATGCACTAAGAGAACATGCAAACTCTACCCAGAAAGACCCCTGAACCGGGATTTGAACCAAGGACCTGCTCGCTGAGAGGCAGCAGCTCAACCAGTTGCGCCACCGTGCTGCCCTGTGAAAATCCATGTCTTAAAAATTGGAACAATTTTAGAATAATGCTCCTCAATATAAAATTGGGAAGACTTTAAATATCCCACCAGCTGCAGTTAATAACGTCATCAAAAGATTTCAAGAATCTGAAGAAATCTCTGAGCTCAAAGGACAAGGCTGAAAGTCAGTAATGGATGCCCAAGCTATTCAGGCCCTCAGGTGGCACTGCATTAAACAAAGTACAAAGATTTAATCTAAATTAAAAATGTATTAAAAGTAAACTGCCTCACTGATGGTATGGGGGTGCATTAGTGCCGCTGGCAGAGACAGCTTACACATCTGGAAAGGCACCAATGCACAAAAGTAGATAAAAGATAACACCTGCTTTCATTTTGACAATATCTTGCCACATTACCCAAATCAGAGGTTCCCAACCCTGGTCCTTGAGGAACACCATCCTGCATGTTTTAGTTGTTTCTCTGCTCCAACACACCTGATTCAGTGATTTAATTACTTCCTTAAGTTCAGCAGACGCCTGCTAATAACCTTTCATTCAAATCAGGTGTGTTGGAGCAGAGGAACAACTAAAACATACAGGATGGTGTTCCTCAGGGTGCAGGGTTGGGAACCACTGGCTTACATCTTGTCTTTTTTTATTTTATTTGTGCAATTTCTTTGTTTAAACAATATGTTTACAATGATCTATTGTGAAGAAAAGATGGGTTTAGGAAATTTGTTAATTGTCACATTCTAGTTTTATTTAGATTTTATCCAATGTCCCAACTTTTTTGAAACTGGAGTTGTAGAAAAACTGACAGAAAAAAGCAGAGAAAAGCAAAGCAAAGAAAACACGATACTAAAAGGAACCTCAGCTGGCATATGCCTGCTCGACTGAAGCAAACATTCACACACATCTAACAAGAACATGGGGTCTGGTTCCATCTGGTTCTGTTCCTTCGTTTGTTTGTTTTCTCAGCATCCTGAAAGGTTCTGACTTCATTATTCCCAACAAGGAAGAGATTAGTGGCACTGGTATGAGGGGATTTTACTGTAACCATCTGGGGGATAATTATATAATGAAACAATTATCGTAAGCTTCCGCTACATACGGTAGAATAACAGCAGATACTTCTGTGTCGACACCCGAAATCAAGAAACAGGTTAGCTTCAGAGCAAATATGAAGTGACAATGATCTACGTCCTTTATGTTTAAGAATAAATGTTCATGTTTTACTTTTTATACTTTAAGAAACAGCTGTTGGATGGCTTCAGTTTAGAAAAACTGCTTATGACACTATCATATTTTTCAATCTATAAGTCACAGTTTTTTGCATAATTTGCATGCTCTTGACTTATACACCAAAGCGACGTATTTATGGATTTTTTTTCCCTATCTATAAACCAATGTTTGGCTGAGATATGATTGTTTTCTTTCATTCTGACTGAAAATATTGAACACTACCATTTTCAGCTGCTAGATGGCACTCAAATAGTATGGCATGCCGTTGTGTCATGTAATAGGTAAAAGTGGCTATTAATGACACAATCGGCTTGCCATACTCTGCCACCTTCGTCCAGCTCGCCTGGAGCAACTGTCAAATCAGCTTCATTTCACTGCGTCGCCCCGGCAAAATGCAGCTGATTTGACCATTAAAGTGAATTAATAAGTAAAAGCTCAACTGAGACACACCTTTACTATAAAGTTGAGCAAACAAACAATTGTTTTAGGTGGTTATCTTGTTAAATTTTGAAGAAACGCACAGTGAGTCGTCCCTCTGCACATTCCTATTTCTGCATATCGGCTTTTGAAAATGCAGCTTTTTTTAACGGTCAAAGTGCATTTAGTAAGCAAAAGTTAAACTGAGACACACCTTTACTATAATTTCAAGTAAACAAATAATTGTTTTTAAGTGTTAATCTTGTTAAATTCTTGTTAAAGTCCTCCCGTGCACGCTCCCGCGGCCACCATTTGGCAGTCAATCGATTTTTGGTACAACACTGGCCCACGTTTCCAGGTTGTCAGCTGTGCTGCATAACAAACGTGACGCGTCAGCGGTGACGCTTAATAGATGCGACGTACATGGCCAAGCAACGTATTTATGGATTTTTCCACTTTATTACACATATTTGAACTGATGTGAATTAAAAGGCGGTGAGACATGTACGGCGGAAAATACGGTAATTGTTTTTAATATACATGTGGACAAACAGTGCCTCTGATAGTTGATTTCTTCTCCATCTGTAACAGACCCAAACCTCAAACAAGGTCAGAGAGAGGAGATTAGGAAAGGCTTTTTTGTCTCCGTGCACTTAACTCAAAGAGGAGAAAGAGTTTCGAAAAGTAGGACAGATTTCCACAAGTTTTCTTTTTCCTGGCAGGTCACCACGAGGCTGTGAGGGGGTAGAAATTGGTGAGCAGTGGGTCATGCCCTCTAACTGCAGGGGTTAACAAATGCCATCCTTCTCCATCTCATTTGGCTGAGGAAGTACAGACACATCCAGGAGGCTAATCTTCGCCTCGGGCTGAGCTGAATCGATGCTGGGTCAAACCTCACAGCATTCAGAGACAAGTGATAATCAGTTAAAACCAATAAACGTCTCCACAGTCGCAACGCACTGCCACCAGAAAGGCTGTTTGGAAGTTTGCTTAAAGGCTTCAGAGGGAAATTTAGGTCTTGGGGAACAAATAAAACGAGCAGAAAACAGGCAGAGTCTGTTTTTATTGAATCCAGAAGGAGAAAACTAATAAAAGCCTGGCAAAGAGTGAATGAGGATACAGGCAGCCAAGAGTCATAGAAACACAAAGAGAGGGGGGCTTTTGATTTTCAGGATGTGAACAGTGAGAAGAGACAGAAAAAGTTTGGTTCTGAAACAAATGTGAAAAGGTTTGTTTTGTTGTCCTGTAGCAGATCTTCATGAAGCTTGTGGGTCGTAATGCCACTGACACTTAAGACAAAAATAAACTACGCAACAAGATGTGTTCTTCTCTTGTTTACTAGGTCATATTTTCCCACCACAAACAGTTTTGTTTTTTTTGACACGCTCAGCTCCCAGTTTGTGCCACTGTGACCCAGTTAGACTAGCTTTGCCCTAGGCTAAATTTAAAGCCCCCCTTTCCACCGTGGAGAGATTGTTATGACACAAATACCAGCTCACATAACTTCTGCTACATATTCATTTGACTTTTTAGTCTTAAAAATAGTGCTATATTTGGAAATTCTTAAAATCTCACCTGAAGCGAGCTTCTGAAATGGAGTTATGTGCAAACATGATCTTACCCGTTACAGCATATTATAATATGTTTAGTAATAATAATATACGTTTTTCCGTTAAAAAGTATTAAAGAGGTACTGGCATGGATTGTTACACATTAAGCAGATATTTCTAATCAGCACCATTTTTTATTTTACAGTAGTCCCTCGTTTATCACTGGGGATATGTACCCTGAAGCTCCGTGATAAGTGAAAAACCGTGAATAGTAGTACAAGTAGTAAGTAGTAGTTTATGTTAGTATATATTAAGGCGTTTTAAACCCTTCCTACACTCTTGCAATATTCTAAACAATGTTTCTAAATGCTCTAAAAGAGCACAGCATGTCATGATTTCAGCTCCCTGCCTCCGCTGCTCTCAGCCACCTGCAAGCGCTATTGGCCACGCCCACTTCTCCACTCTGCACAGAGATCAGCTGCAGGAGGAAGATTTTTCTGCAGCTCTGGGCTGCACAAAGGTGCAGCAGGTGTTACATCATTTAAAATAATTAATTTTAATTTAATTGTTATTATAATATATATATATTATAATTTAAAAATCGTGCGGCTCATCCATCAGTCAGCCAATTGTGTGTCATGTCCAATCTTGTTTTGAAAAAACGCAATAGAGCGAGTCCGCGATAAATGAACCGCCAAGTAGTGAGGGACTACTGCATTAGACTATTTAGAGTTTGCTGCAGACAGAGGTAGTTTACACAAAGGAACAGATATAAACACCGGTGTGACCTTGAATAACCCTAACCCCAGACCATATCCATGGTTATGCCACACCCCGAATCCATCGATACAATTCACTACACTCATTATCTGTAACCTTTAGCAGTGAACACACACACACACACACACACACACACATTCCTCCATTTTAAACCGTCAGCTCAGTGCAGATCAAACAGACTTTCAGAGCTTTCCGATCCATTACCCTGTAAACTCTAACGGGCCAGCTTTCATACACAGAACTGAGGACTGCCATGGTAACAAGGGAAAAGAAAAAAATCCTTAAACAAATACATCTCCCCCAGCCTGATTCTTCCCCTGATATTTGATATCTGAACTGGTACTTGAGCAACAAAAGGGCACAAAATGTACTGGAGCTGCAGCTGTCTGTCGCTGACACGTCTGAAGCAGACCAACTTCAGGCTCTGCTGATAAACATAAAGAAATGACTCTCTGCACAAATCACACACAAAGGAACGGTTTTGCAAAGCAGCCAACCTCTGATCGTGTCAACAACAAAATAAAGCATGCCTGGCTGCAGTTTTATGATGTGCCTGAAGAGTGGTCTCATATTTGATGCTTCCTCATTGAAAACAATGAAAATCCTCTGTTGTCTTCTGTGACACTTTATTTGTCCTTCAGCTACAACTTTTCCTACATCGTGTCGAAGATTAAAGCTGCATGTTCAGCTACAGCCATCGAGTGGATCAAGCGTTTGGCTGACAGACGGATGCTCAGGAGCTGGACTGTGTGTGGAAGTGTGGTTTGGAAAAAATAATAAAAGGCCTGTTTTGCTTCTGGCCGACTCACTGGCTGACTCCTTGAATCCTTGGGCAGAGTGGACGATCACATGGAGGAAGCCGTACAAACCAGGACTCTCATCATCTGGAAAACAAGGGCACAGAGGTGTAAGTCTGAGTTCAGAGTACTTTACAGTCTTTGAACATTGGGACACTATGACCTTCCTGAATCCTGCCTTTATCTCTGTGCAAGTAAGAGAATGACAGATGAAGGAAAAAAGATCAGTCTCATTAAGTTACATTATACTTACAGATTTAAGATCAATCATTTCTCCTGCAGCTGCAAAGAGTTTGATTTAGATTTCAACTTTGAAACACAAAAAATGGCTACTCTGGATTTTACTTATTAAAAAAGTCAAATGTGGTATTATTGGATGTATGGTTTAGTAATTAACTGCAGCTGAAAATCAAGACCATAAAAATGAAAGGTAATTTTTTAATGAAACTTTCAAGTTTAAAGCAGAACAGATAATTCGCAAAATAAAAGCTCTTTCAACATCATTCTTGCAATTTCAGCTTCTTTATGCCTTTTTAGCCATTTTTTTCTTCTTCCTAATTTCAGTTTTTTCAGATAATTTCCACTTTCTGTGCTCATTTCTGATTCTTTCAGCCTGATTGGGCAAACGTGATCTTTCTGCTTTCTCCTGCTAGTTTAAGCTTATTCTTTTTCAACTAACTTTTTAGCATGTTTGTAGCTAAATTTAGCTGTTTTCAAATAAAATCAAGTTTTTCATCATGTTTCTGTTATAATCCACTTCTTTATGCTATTTTCAGCTTGTTATGCTCCTTCCACTTTTTTTTTTTTTTTTTGCTATTTCAGCTAGTATTTAGCAGTTTTATTCTAATTTTAGCTTTTTCAGATTATTCCAACATTATTTTTTTGTAGCTCATTTCAGGTTTTTTCACTTCCTTCTGGTAGTTCAAGATTCTTTCTGCCTTTTCAGCTAGTTCTCAGCTAGTTCTTTTTTTTTTTTTTTTACTAATTTCAGCTTATTTTTAGCTAATTTCTTATGTTTTGTGCTAATTTCTGCCCATTTAAACCTATTTCAGCAAATATGTTTTTTCTGCTTTCTTCTGCTAATTTAGGCTTGCTCTTCTATTTCAGCTACATTTCAGCATGTTTTTAGCTAATTTTGGCTGTTTTTCAGAAGCATTCACACTGCATTTTTTTGTAGGAAAAGCCATTTCTCTAGTTTATATTATATTATTTAGCACATTTTAGATCCTTGTATACTGTTTATTTTTTTTATAATTTATAATTTAGCTATTTTTGGGTGTAACTGGGACCTTGAATACACAATTTCCTTCCTCCTCATGTATCATATGTGATGCGAATGACAATAAAGAACCTTGAACCTTTTAGATAAATTTAGGATACAAAACAAATTAATGATGTCAACTTAAAAACACAGGAACCAGGAGACATTTATCAGACTAAATGAGCAGTTGCATTTCAAATCTTAAATTTTGACACCCGTCTATTAAAGAGCCTCAAAGAGAAATCCAGTTAATTTCAACACATTTTTTTTCATTTAGCCTTTATTTATCCAGGTTAGTCTCACTGAGCCACGAGAACTCATTTTCAAGAGAGACCTGTTTAGGGAGCACATGGTGGGGTTAAGGGCCTTGCTCATGGGCCCAGAGTGGGGCGAATGAGGGTGGGGGCAAGTGTGGGTGTTTCACCTACCCCACCCACAATTTTTGATGTTGTCGGGGCCGGGGCGTGAACCGGCGATCTTCGGATCACAAGCCCACCTCTCTAACCTCTGCGCCGCCACTCCCCAACACAGAAGTCTATAAACCTAATGCACAGTAATCCAAACTAGACACGAGTACAAGTTTGTTGCTAAACCAACCAGAAATGCGCAGTGTTCTTAAAAAACAAGTTCATTTCAGATGAGCAGATGTTTGCAGTTGTTCGACAGAATGAAACTCTAACATTATTATTAACTTTATAGAGTGAAAATTATTGAAACTAAAGCAGCCCTTTGACCACTGACTCAACCTCCAATTTTTTTTTTTTTTACAAAAATCCCACGTGATCTGTTAGCACTCTGAGTATGGGTTGGGAATGACTCTCAGCTGCTACTGCACCAAATTCTCACACAAAATTAATAAAACCAACTACATGAGGAAACAGTTTATACTATGACGATCAGAGTGACAGGTAGCAGTCAGAGCATTCTTTTATCATCAGACCTCACATCTCTTTGCCTTTCAGCAAACTCACGTGTCCATATCGGCTGAACTAGTTGCTGACTAGAGACTTGTAGGGGACAGAGCCCACACTATTCTCCCACTTCCTCCTCTCTGCATCTCACCGACAAACACACAAAGATGAGACATTCCTGTTCTGGCTGAGACCTGTGAAGTCTGACCGTTTCCTGGTAAATAAACTCTGATGGAGGTCGGCAGGAGCGGCTGGGAGGTCTGACAGAGAGGGGTTCAACTTCAACCTCTGAACCATCTGCTTCTCAAGACAAACTGGTCCTACGATAATATCTGAAGAACAACAAATTGCTAAAACATGCTAACCAACTAATGATACGTTATTCTGTTTCACTGAAATCATTAAACTATGGGAGAGTATATAAAAGTCTGACATCTTACTGTAAAACATGACTTGCAGTGATACTCAGAGTTACAGAGGAAGTATGATATGAATCTAGACTCGCCTGTTAACTAGCTGAACTGTGCCCTACAGAGATGTTCTCAACCTGGTTGGTTAAACACACGATTCACTGTTTCTAAAAGATGGATGACAACAAACTATCTTTAGCAAAACTACAATCAGTTGACCAAAACTTGTAAGAGGTATTGTAGTAAAAACCAAAGGAAATGATGTTAAATTGGAACAACATATATCACCCACTACCACTCATCCAAGAGTTTAAACCTGAGATCATTTTATGTTGAGAAATGATGAAGTTGTTGCTGTTTTGGTCCAACCTGGAAAATACCATATTAATGATGTGTTAGAGCTCAATGTATGCAATATGAATGACTCTTAGCTACTACCATACAAAACTGTAAACTAATAGCTGTAGAAGTGACCGAGTTGTATCCATTTATGTGTTGGTGAAACCTGCAGTCCCTCAGTGTCAAATCAGAACACAAAAACCAGAAACCTACTGAAAAGAACTGGATGTCAGAATCACAGCTCAAACAAAGAATTCTTTATACAAGAAGCAAACGCTTTCTTTTCTTCCCCGGAACGGGTAAAAAAAAAGAAAAGAAAAGAAAACAATGTGCTTTTGAAAGCATTGAAACCTTTCTGTTAGTACAGAGGACATGCACATGTCTTCTGTGTGCATGTGTAAATCTCAGGACATCTGAGGAGATCAGAGTGGGTCGGCCAGATGGCTTTAATGCCACCTTCCAGAGAGGAGTTACAACATGGAGATCTGAAGCAAAAACAAACATATAGAAGCTGCGAGTGACACACAGCGTAATGCTGACCGCTATGAGAAACATTTTGTAACCTCGATTCACCTCCTGCTTTCATCATGGGGCCAAAAACACATATTTTGGAAGAATTTAAAGTTTAAATCGGAGAAGGAAAGAGGAAGCGATGTTCTTTCTGATCCTTTTGAGTGTTTCTTACCATCTTTGTTACTAGTGACAGGAATGTTGTGGACGGTTCGCAGCTTGAAACAGGAGCTGGTCAGGACCTGGAGCTCCACAGAACTTAATACACATACCTGGAGATCTGAAAGGAAAAAAAAAACAGGATGATTTTATTTTCACACTTATTTTACACTCAGTTATTCAAAGAAGTAGAATTTAAAACCAATGGTACCTTTTTTCTGGAGCTTCTGGATGTTTTCCCTCCACTCTGACCTCTCATAGTCAGAAGAGAGGAGGAACTGATAACTCTGTACAGGAATAAAATGCTCAACTGATTAAAAATATATAAAAGAAGAGCATTGTTTTGAAAATATTGTTTTAAATGTAAAAAAATAAAATAAAGAATCACAATCAACTTGCGCTGTAATCTACATCTACACCACACATGTGGACTCATGTCTCCCTCTAGTGGTGATAAAGGAGCACTGCAGCACAACATCAGTACCTTTCCGTGTTTGTTGTGGATGCGAAAAGGGATGGTGGGGGAGTGCAGGAGCAGCCAGGACTCCTGCTCGTTCATCTTCTTCCTGAGACGCTCCACGCGGCTCTGACCCTTTGGTGCTTTCTGCACAGACAGACAAGGAAAGACTTTAACAGAAAACTAGATGTTTTTCAATCTTTGGCTTGATTTCTGCATGGGAGGATACTTCCTGCTTCAAAACAGGAGAGCCCTTTTTTATTTTACTTTGACATCTAACAGAACAACAAAGATTTGTTTGCACATATTTATTATACTGAACAGACAACAAACAGATTAGGTAAACGACTGAGGGTGCAGGTAGCTGCAGCCTTGTTTTAACAGTGCCGCAAAATACTAAACAGCAAAATCCATGCTCAATAATTCAGGTATACAATCCAACATTTTTCAGTCAGGCCATCTGGACAGTTTCTTTTTTTTTGTGCTGAAACATTTTGCCTTTGGTCCGGAAGGCTTCATCAGTCAAGGAAACCCACAACAAAACTGATTCTTCCCCCAACAGCTTACTCCAAAGTGGAACAAACCAGTTCTGCTTGTGATAAGATGGTCTCTTTGGTACGCCCCCTCCTCCATTGCTGGCCCTCTTCCTTGTTGACAGTCTTGTCAAACTGGTTGAAAACAACAAAGTCAAATGCCAGATGACCTGACTGAAAAATGTTGGATTGTATACCTGGATTATTGAACATGAACTTTGTTGTATCCTGATGCATACTCAATAATCCAGGTAGAAAATCCAAAAAAGTTCAAACTGGTTGATCCACTCTGAGAAGGTGCTTTTTAAGAGACTGAGCTGAAAACAGCACCTCAGACTGAGGAAGTCTCTTGGATGAGAGACGAAACGTTTCTAGATTTTTTTTGCTTTGTTTTGTTTTTTGTTTTTTTGAATGTCCAGAGGACCAGATTGAACTTTTTTGGATGAACTTTGTTGCTTTCAACCAGTTTGACAAGACTGTCAACAAGGAAGAGGGCCGGTAATGGAGGAGGGGGCGTACCAAAGAGACCATCTTATCACAAGCAGAACTGGTTTGTTCCACTTTGGAGTAAGCTGTTGGGGGAAGAATCAGTTTTCTTGTGCATTTCCTTGACTGATGAAGCCTTCCAGACCGAAGGCGAAACGTTTCAGCACAAAAAAAAAAAAAAAGAAACTGTCCAGATGACCTGACTGAAAAATGTTGGAAAATACTAAACAATTACATCTAATAAAGACTGGGAATTAGAAGGACTACATTCAATTTTATTATCCGTTTTTTTAGACAAAATTTTTTTCCCATTGAGCATATAGTTATACTTCACACCTACATGTGTTAAATGATCTCTTCTCTCATTCAGTAAAACTACATTGTTACTGTTTAACAAACAAACGGATAATAAAATGCTCTGACATATAAACTAAAGCTGATGTTAACTGGAAGCACCCTGACAGGGATGAAAGTACAGAATGTTGTCGGTACATTTATTTTGTGTATATTACACCATTTGATAGTGATCAACTAAAGTAAAATTTAGGAGTTTTATTAGGGATGCACGATATTATCGGCGTGGTATTGGTATCGGCCAATATTAGCAATAAAGTTAAATATCGGACATGGGTCATTTCATCAAAATAACTCACCGATATAAAAGGCTTCTGTGTTCAGTTAATTTTTAATTTCACAAACTGTCAAGTATATCTATTAATGCACTATTACTTATGCACTTTTCACTTGTCACTTGTGAACAGGTTGAGTTTAGATTTGTGAAAATTTACAAATGTGCACTGTTCGAATGTTATAAATGGTAAATGGACTGTACTTATATAGCGCCTTTCTATCTTATTTCAAGAGACTCAAAGAGCTTTACACTACAATCTGTGTCCTCATTTACCCATTCATACAGCACTCTACTAGATCTCTACAAAGCTAATTGAACAAATCATTCTAAAGAGATTAATCAGTGTTTTAGATCACATTCATACACTGATGGGACACACATCAGAGGCTATGAGGGGTTCAGTGTCTTGCCCAGTGACACTTCAGCATGTGACTGCTGGTGGATTCGAACCCCCAACTCTTGCATTGGAGGACGACTGTTCTAACCACTCAGCCACAGCTGCCCCAATGTTGTCATTGTGTTAGAAAGAAAATGTCATGAATACATTTGACATTAAACATAATCCAAGTTGAAGTATTGCATCATTTTCAGCCCCTTCTTGGCATCTGCATTTGGTAGCAGGTCAAATTGACAAAGACCATGCAGAGTAATGTAGTATTTTAATTCCACTGCAGAGAAAGCTGTGTAGTCTCTGTAAGTAGGTCTAGGGAAAAATATATTGTTATTGGTATAGGCCAAATAAGTTTTAACATATTGGCATATTGGATATCAGTCAAAAATCCACTATCATGCATCCCTAAGTTTTATGATAATTTTGACTTCAGTTATTTGTCATTTCTTGTTAAGCAAGGGTGCTGAAAGTTAGCTCTGTGTTAACTGCAGGCGTCTATGCTTCTTGTCAGCATATAAAAAATAGAATAGAATAGAAATAACTTTGATTGTTCCTCAGTGGGGAAATTAAGGAAAATACAGCAAATATCCTCAGCCTGCAGCAGGAAGCCATGAGTCAGACTATAATCAGCTGAATCTCTCGCTCCACCGGCCCCCTGCCACTGTAAATACCAGCCATGGTCACTCAGTGTGCCCTGAGTGGGCGAGAGGAACGTGACGACAGGGAATAACAGGAACTTGGTGCTCCTGAAGCCTTTGGTGTAACTCAGCCTGGGGGTGGGGGTGTAACATTTACTGTGGTGTAATTTAAAGTGCTGTAAGCTGAGAACGTCCAACAGTTTAAACTCTTTCAGGAACTTCAACTTCATTGTAAAAAACTAAAAAAAGGATACAAATGAAAAGTTGATAGAGTGGCTTAACACTGATGGAAGTCACGTTCACACAAATAAAAATTAGAGGAAAAAAGTGAGTTCCTCTTATTTTTTATTAAAAGCCATGCCCATGTTTTCTTTGCGTCTTCCGTGTAAGAACTTGAACTTAATAATAAAACAACTTATAAGAGCTGTTCACAAATGCCCACAAACCTAAAAGTACCAGAGCAGCATTGCAAAAAGAAGTGGGCCAAACCTGCTCCACAGTGAGTGTGAAAACATGCAGTTCTGGAGCTTTCTGCCTCATAGTTGGCCATGATACTTTGGATCAACTCAGAAAAAATGAGGGACAAAACTTGTTTAAAAAATATATAAATAAAATAGAGCTCGTCCAGTAAGGAATTCCTCTCATCTGTTGCAGGCATTTGTTTGTGTTTGTGTTTCCTTTAACAGCAGTAATCTAGATGGGGATCAGTTCTAAGGAACAATGGAAAGTCCTGCTCTGAGATAAGATGCTAAAAGACTCATTTGGAATTTGGACCAGGACATTTTTCTAACTCCAAACACTGCACGCTCCAAATCTGACAACCACACAGGAAGAGTTTTCAGAATGACACTGAATTTGAGCACCACATGCCAATAAATAATAACTAACCTTCTCTTTCTGTATCTCGCACTTTAAACCTGAGATCTTCATCTTCATCTCTTCGATCTCGTGCTCGGGCAGGACCTGGATGCTCGGACAGGAGTCTGTCTCGTCCAGAGTTTGGAAGGTTAAATCTGCCAGAGGGATGTACCACTTGCATTCATACTGCTGGTGGCGGCTGCAGACAGACAAAGAGAAACGATGGAGAGTAACAAGAGTGAGACGAGGAAAACAAAACAAAGTTTGTCTAAAATGGTACTTCAGAAATCATTTTCCACATCAGTTTTTTCATTCAACCTTAATTTATACAGGTTAGTTCCAATTGAGCCTCAAGGACTCATTTACAAGAGAGACCTATTAAAGTTTAAAAGTTGTCACAAAACTATTAACAAAAAGTGATTTACAAAAAACATTAGATAGCTAAATGACGGTAATATAAAGTCCTGCCTATAAATTTAAAAGACAATCAGAAGTGTATGAATTCAACCTGAAGACAACTTCTCCCAGCTTTTCCCTCTTCAGGGTCTCCACAGCGAGTCATCCTCCTCCATCTCTGTCCTCTTCATCCTCTGTCCTCACTCCAACTACCTCCAGTCCTCTCTAACTGCATCCATATATCTCCTCTTTGTCGTTTTCCTGGCAGCTGCATTTCTAACATCCTTCTACCAATATACCCACTGTCCCTCCTCTGGACATGTCCAAACCATCTCAGTCTGGCCTCTCTAACTTTATCTCCCAGTTGTTCAACCTGTGCTGTACCTCTGATGATCTCATTCCTAATCTTATCCATCCTTGTCACTCCTATGGAGAACCTCAACATCTTAATTTCTGCTACTTCCAGTTCTGTCTCCTGTCTTTTTGTCCACTGTCTCTGTCTCCAGATCATACAACACAGCTGGTCTCACCACTGTCTTGTAAACTTTTCCTTCGACCTTTGCTGACACCCTTTTGTCACAAATCACTCCTGAAACTTTTCTCCATCCACTCCATCCTGCCTGGACTCTCTTCTTCACCTCTTTACCACATTCCTCATGTTCCTGGACTGTGGACCCCAAGTACTTGAAGTCCTGCACCTTTGTGACCTCTGCTCCTTGTAGCCTCACTGTTCCACCGGCCTCCCTCTCATTCACACATGTACTCTGTCTTACTACGACTGACTTACATTCCTCTTCTTTCAAGTGCATACCTCCACCTCTCCAAGTTCTCTTCCACCTGTTCCCTGTTCTCATCAAAGATCACAATGTCATCTGCAAACATCATAGTCCACAGGGATTCTTGCCTGACCTCATCTGTTAGTCGTTCCATCACCAGAGCAAACAAGAAGGGACTCAGAACCAATCCTTGATGCACTCCCAAAATTTAACCTGAAGACTGCAGTGAAGTAAATCTGTTTCAGTCTTTTTCTGTTGTAACAAATGTACGTCAATGGAAGTGATGTGTGTGGTGAGTTAATTCCACCAGGAGTGAGGTGAATGTTTTTTGTCTCTAATGAGACAAAAAGTCTGAGGTGACGTGTTTGTTCAGTTCACTCCTGTAGAGTCTGGCTCTTGTCTCCAATGTTCACTTGTGAAGAATCCAAGGGAATAATGACAACTTACAAATAGTCTGGAAATGGTCCAAGTGTGGACTGAACTACATTATGTTTTAGTTGATGCAAAAAATAAATCAATTACAAAAACACATCACACAGTTTAAAGGATTGTGTGTTTATAACCACTTTGTGTTGTATTTCCTTAATTTTTATGGCCTGGCTGGGAGCACATGGATTTTATTTATTATATGTAATACTTGAAAATCCAAAGGAAGTGGTTTGACTTTATAAAGTGATTCTAATTCACCATTTCAAATTCTGAAGTTCTATAAATATTTATTTTTCAGATCATAAATATGTGACAGCTGTAGTAAGAAGCTGCTTTTATGACAAGTGTTTGAACACATTTATCTTGATATTCCAGAAATGAACACGCATCTGCTTAGTAAACAAGGTCTACAGAGAGAGGTACATTTTGATGGAATTAATTTTATACAACAGAGTTAAACATGAAACAAGGTGCAATTTAAGTAAAACTAAAAATCTTTAGCAGCTGGGAATATGCTGGAGCGATGGTGTAAGGTTTTCTGCTGAGACTGAAGACCTTCGTTTGGTCACAGCAGCTGTTCGATAATTAGCTTTAGTTTCGCTTTTATTATACCTTATTTTTAGATATTAACACAACATGAGACAAACAGTTGTCAGGATACAGTGCAGAACAAGAAAACATGCAGATTAAAGGTTACAGTTAAATATTATTACAGTAACATCTGTGGCGAACCCATGCTTCAGAATCCTGATGCTCACTCTCTCTGGCTACTGACAGTACGTATCATATTTTTCGCCAGACAAGACAAGCACCTTTTTGCATAAATTTGAAAGTCCTGTGACTCATACACTGAAGCGACTAATATACGTTTGATTCCCCATATTTAAAACACAATTTTTGGCTGAGATCTGACGATTTCATTCATTCTGACATGGACAATATTTAGCACTACCATTTTCAGCCGCTAGAGGGCCCTCGAGCAATATGGCAAGCCAAGTGTCTCATTAATAGATAAAAGTAGCTATTAATAAGACACTTGGCTTGCCATACCAAACCACCTTTTTCTCGCTCTGGAACTCCTGGACAAAACATCAAATCAGCTGCATTTCGCCGTGACGCCCAGATGAAATGCAGCTGATTTGACCATTAAAGTGCATTTATTAAGGAAAAGTTAAACTGAGACACACCTTTACTATAATGTCAAGCAAACAAATAATTGTTTTTAGGTGGTTATCTTGTGTAATTTCGAAGAACTGTACAGCAAGTCATCCCTCTGCGCACTCCAGCAGCCGCGAATTGGCTTTTGAAAATGCAGCTGATTTGAGCATTAAAGTGCATTTATTAAGAAAAAGTTAAACTGAGAGACACCTTTACTATAATTTCGAGCAAACAAATAATATTTTTAAGTGTTAATCTTGTTAAATTCTTGTTAAAGTCCTCCTGTGCACACTCCCGCGGCAGCCATTTGTCAGCCAATCGATTTTTGGCACAACACCGGCCCACATTTCCAGGTTCTGTGGTGCATAATAGATGCGACTTATATGGTGAAGCGACCCGTTTATGTTTTTTTCCACTTTATTAGACATATTTGGACTGATGTGACTTATACAGCAGCAAGTACAGTATTTAGGACAGTGGTGGAACGCTTGTCAAATATACTTTTCTCATGCAGTTTATATCTGTGATTTATTGCAGTGTTTTGTGCTATTGGACTCACTGAACATTAATCAAAGGAATAATGGAGCTAAAAGAAGGATCCATGTGCAGATCTGCAGTATTTAAACTACAGCCAGGTGTCTGCCTTACAGGTAGTGTCACAAGCCAACTCACATAGACAGTTCTGGGAGGTTGGATCACAGATTTTCATTCAGGCAGATGACAGAGAAACAGACGAGACACACTCACCCCACAGCTGTCTTCTTCATCTTGGCACAAAGAAGCAGGTCGGTGAAGAGGAAGACGTGCCGAAGCTTCCTGGAGCTTTCAGACACCTCCACCAGAAACCCATCCTTCACCAGCTGACGGGCCTGCAGAAGAACCAGAGGGAAGTTCCTGCTGAGCTGATGAACCAGTAGCTTGTTTCAAATATATAAAAAACTAAAACCAGTGTCTTGTTATTGTCTTCAATCAGGAAATTTGCACCAGGAAGCACAACTTGACATTCAAATTCAATCAGCAGCTGATTAGACTCTTGTTTTTGTTCTTGAAGCCTCACATTTAGAAAACATCTAATACTGTAAGTGTAACCCCTCCCTTAAAAATATACCACCCACCTCTCCTTTGGGTGTAGTGACAGCTGTCCTGCGAGGATCTATCTCCTCATTGATGGAGGACAGGAAGTTCTGGGAGATCCGGAGAGCGTCCTGCAGGAGGGGGAAGTCTGGGTGGTCTTTCGGCGTGTGTTTCAGCAGGTCCTGTCCCAGAAAAGAAATGTACTGATGTTCATCCAGCCATCTTTTTTAAACTCATCAACACTCTGGACACCAGTAGTGGATTTTAATAAAGTAGAATGTTCTGAAACAGTTATTCGCTGTATTAAAACTCAGTTGTACTGAAGACTAAAACACTGATAATCTAATTTTCTTTTTGTTTTGTTTAGCTGCTCTCTTTATGACAGCAGCTTTCCCTTCAAAATGGGTTCAGCCTAGGGATGCACAATATTACCGGCATGGCATCAGACGATATTATAATTTAAATTCAATATCGGACATTCCATTAAAATAACTCGCCGATATAAAAGGCGCTGTTTTTGCCTGCAGCGGCAGCACAACGTGATGATGTTGCAGCGGCAGCGCAACGATGTCACGTGCGCCTACCCGATCTCACGGCAGAGAGAAAAATTAAAAATGTTGGCCGTGTGGAAGTTTTATTTTTCGTTGGTGAGGATGTCGGATTCCGAAGATTTATGGACTACGTTGAGCCTCGCTACATCGTCCGCAGTCAGAGATATTTTTCCGAGGTAACGTTACCCCAGTTACCAGCCGTCATTTCAGACGTCATTGAGAAGCTAATAGCCGCTAGCACGTCTTGTTGGGTGAGTTTTACCACAGACCTTCGAATGTCAAGTGTTAGCCCCGTTAGCATGATTAGTCTTACAGCACAAAGGATAGACAAAAACTTTTAACTTAAAAAGTCTGTCCTTCTTGCACAAGAGTGCAGAGGATCCCACACTGCAGCTACGAACCTGGAACAAGCCTCCACAAGTGAGACAGCATCGCAGGTGACTAATGCTAATAAATAACATTTAACATTTTCCATTTAATATAAGTCAAAGTGCTATGCATATCATATGGCTGTTACTGAATATGTGTCACCAGCTCTTACAGCTGTTACACAATTTTTGTAGCAAATAAGTCTAAATAAGAGGGCTATGTTTTGACAAAAGAACGTATATAAAATATTGTATCGACATCGGTTATCGGCCAAATAGGTTTTAACATATCGTCAAATTAGATATCGGCCAAAAATCCAATATCGTGCATCCCTAGTTCAGCCAATCAGTGTTGTTTGGTTTGCGGATGAAACACCGCTGCAGAGCCCAGACCCAAGAGCTTTCTGTTCATCTCACAGCTTCTTGTTCTTTCAACTTTCTCCCAAAACCTAACAAGACACATCCAGGAGTCTTGGCTTGTTCCACTGACAGTTCCTGCCTAATCGTTTCTCGTGTAAAGTAAAAGTACATTTTAGAATGACTGGACGATTTGATAGAATAAATGCTACACTAAAGTTTTCTGAATCAATGCTTTGAAACAATGAATGAATGAATGAATGAATGAATGAATGAATGAATGAATACTTCCCCTCCCTTCTCCTTTGTTTTTGATTTTAAGAGTTTAAAGTTTGAAATATTTGTTACCAACACCACAACTACTACAACTAATAATAACAATGATGATAATAATAGAGTAATATTAATACGAATAATATTAATAATAATAACAATAATATCAGAAAACACTGGAAATAGAAAAATATTACAAAACTAAAATAATCAATCATATGTAATGAATAAAAATAAAGATGAAATAAAAACAAGACAGACTGTTTTCATCAAAAATATCTCAAATAACTGTAAAGTATTTCTGGAAAAATGTGTATTATATTTTATAATTTATATATCTGCTTTATATATTTGTTTGTAGTTATTATAGTTATAATTAAAATTAATACATTATGGTATATTAAACAACAACAACACTAATAATGATGATGATGATAATAATAGATGGAACATATTTCTTTAAACATATTCAAATAAATATATTTATAAATGTATTTGGCTTTACTCTCGAGTTTGATAATACCAAAAATTTGTTCAATCCAGTTTTTTTTTTAACGTACCGGTATTTCTCCCCTTCATCTGCATTTTTCCTATTCATTAAATATTAGTCTAAATTTAAACTTCTTTCATGTAATTATTGTTTTTCTGTTTCTTTTTTTAAACTTAGTTTGCTTAAAAAAAAACTATTAGTCCCAAAGGGAAATTAAATGTTGCAGCTTATCATCCTGGTTTCATTAGAGTTGTTTTAGATGCTGATGGCTGTGGGCAGGAAGGATCTCTTGTAGCGCTCTGTCTTAGATCAGATCTGAAGAAACTGGTTGCAGATGTTGAGCATCTACTTGGACTTGGTGGGTTTCTCGGTTTTCTTGGGCAGCAGGACCACTTGAATCTTGGGCAGAAATCCCTGAGCGATGGCCACGCCTCCTAGCAGCTTGTTGAGCTCCTCGTCATTGCGGACAGCCAGCTGCAGGTGGCAAGAGATGATCCTGGTCTTCTTGTAGTCACAAGCGGCATTTTCCACCAGCTCCAGGATCTTGGCGGTCAAGTACTCAAGCACCTCCACCAAGTAGATGGAGATGAATCCATGGCACCTCCTTTTTAATTCGTTTGTGATTTGGGGCTGTAGCTGAGGTATTATTTGAGCTTTTGAGATGTTAATCAGCTGCTCTCGATTGTAAAAAAAAAATCACCTTGTTGCCATGGTTACGCATCATAACAAACATCCAAAAGCAAAAAGGTTTTAGTAAATCCTTCAAGCTGCAGAACATCTGATATCAGAGGAAATAATCATCCAAATAAAGCGATTTACATCCAGAAAAAACGAGGAATTAAAGTTTTGAAAAGTAACATCCCAGACTGAACGTAACAGAGCTACTCCAACATGCAGCCACACCGAGCGGCGCAATTCTAGAACCATCAAAGATGAAATACACTATTTAATATATTTATTGGGTTTGATTTAAAAACAGGTTCCTGATGTCATTAAAAGTTGACAAAGTACTCATGAAGTTGCATTGTTTTTGTTTTCTGTAAAATATTGCACCAGAAGGATGAGATACTGAATCATGTCTATTAACATCTTTTTGTATCTCCACAAAGGTAGGATTGTCTTTTTGACAATAATAATTAAAAAAAAAAAGAAAAAAAACAAGGACTATTTTTTTATATTCAGTTGGAAGGTTTTTAATCATCGGAGACAAGACCATTTAGATAAAGTGACTCTGCAGTTTAAAACTGTGTAAAGTTTGTTTTTACTGCTGCCATACAAATCTAACATTGCTCTGATGTAAAAGAACAACGTGTTACTCACATGCAGGACCAGGGTGCTTCTGGTGACACGGTCAATCGGCTTGTAAAGGAGAGCTGTGGGAGAGACAGAGGACGCCAGGTTCAAATGTCAAATTTAAATGGATGGAAGCTTTTTATTGATTGTGTTATTCTGAGATTTCCAGCAAAATAAACAAGTTATCACAAAGCTACACACAGATGCAAACACTAAGCACCCCAAATGGACCAGCGTAGCTATAAAAAGTGTGACATGTGCCCACATGCCTCCACTCTTACATCTAAACTACAGTTTAGAAGCCTGCAGCACCACAGTCAACTGGTTTCCCCAGAGTCTATCTCGCTGCTGAGGTGCTGTGAACAGCAACGACAGCTCCAGTTCAGAGACTCCCACAGATATGGCAAAATGAAAGAGAGAGAAAATAGATTCAACCTGACATGGAGAGATAGCAGCAGCAATGGCATATATGAGCTCTTCCATAAAAATATATATTTTTAAAAGATGGCAGAAGCAAACACACTTCTGATGTATAATGTGGACAGAAAAATAGTTTTTCACTGTCCAGTCAAGGTTCTACAAGTCATAGAATAAGATGACCAAACTATGTCATAGTTTCTAAAAAACATCACTTAATAACAGAATTGGACAAAAGAATGCTTTTCTGAGCATAACTTTAAAAGATTAAAAAAAGAAAAGGATCAGCTGTTAAAAAAACAAAACAAATGGAAACCTGCTGACATTGTGATCAAGCTAATCTCCATGTTGACTTGTGTTAAATGAAGAGGAGAAACTTGACTACACCCTTCTTAAATTTCAGTTTTTGTTCATTTGTTTAAACACTTCAGCAATCTTTTCTTTAACAACACAGCACAAACACAATTTTAGGAATGTATATTAGTACTGAAATATTCTTATTATTTGGTCAATATTATTTTGTTTCCATCACAAAATGCATTCAAAATGTTAAAATAAGAGAGGGTACCCTCAGGCATGAGCCTCCCATCACGCACGGAAAGACTCAAAGACAGTTATTGCTGTCAGATTACTGAACTCTTGATGATGATACTGAACAACTGACAATAACACTGCACTAAGCCACATCTGTGACACCTAATATATTTATTGATACTGCACTATGTGGCTGTATCATGTATGTCACTACCGTACCATCATAATTCATTTCAATATTACTACCTGTGCAATAACCTGTCGCACAACCTGTGTAGTATACGTTAGTTATGTGCAATATATTACTATAATACAATATATTACTGCCTGTGAAATACTCATTTATACTAACTCATACTTGCACCATTATATTCTAACATGTTGTTTACTATATTTCATTTGGACCTAGTAAACATTATATTTCTTTTCACTTTTGGTACTTTATTTTGTACTTTTATTGCATGCTTTAGTATTTCTTGTTTTTTTTAGCGAGTCAAAAAAGTTCTTCTCATCCTGAGAATCCATTGTCGACCTTGTGCTAACCTGTATATGACAAATTAACAAACATAATATAATATAATAATATAAGAATGTCACTAACTTTAACTTGTGATGTAAACTTCCCACAAAAATGTTTTTTCTCACATTTTACACTTTTTATGCATATATATATTATAGTTTATGCATCAAAATAGACATTTTTATCCTCTTCCATGCAGTGTGTCTTTCACTGCTTTAAGGCTTACAGGTTTCTACAACAGGATAAACTTTATTGAAATGACTGGTTATACATCTACAACTGATTTACTTTGATACAAAACCCAAGTCACAATGCCCATCATAACTAATAAATCTTAAAAACGTGAATAAAAAACAAAAAGAAATGACTGCAAGCCAGTCAGTTGAACTTCTATTGAGCTAATGTCTAGCGTGGTAGTAGCTGAGACTGCTTCCAAACACATTTCCTGAGCTTAGATTGTAAAATGGATTGTAAAAGCTCATGAACCACTGAGCATATATAAATGAAACTTTCACAACACAATAAACGGCTGTGCATTTACCGTTGGAGGTAAATCAACTGAAGATGCACAAAACAACCCACCGACTTTAGAAAACCAAAACACGGCTGTATTTCTGTATTTATTTATTTTTCAAACATTATGGTAAACTTCGATGTGTAGTAGCTGAGTCATTCTCTGCACAGACTGTAAGTGTGACGTTTTGTATTAATGTTACATCTTGCACACAATATTTTCTAAGATTGATCAAAACAGCTAAAACTCATTTCTCAACATTACATTAAAAAGCACTAGTTAACAAAGTAAAAATATCTCATAAAGTATTTGTTTTGGAATTGTCAAATTTCTAAATCTACTTTCTGTCTTTGTGGCTTTGAAAGACTTCTTGACGCGTGTAGTTAGCTTAGCTACTGTGAATTAGCTGCTGTCTTCTGCCCGTTTGACAGACATATTTCTACTGGCTTAATACATTTTGATATTCAAAGTACACAGGTAGCACTGGTATGTATAATTTTAGTAATACAGTAGTCCCTCACTACTGAGCGGTTTCACCTTCGCTGACTCGCTCTTTCGCAGTTTTTCAACGTAAGATTGTACATGTCACATAATTGTCAACTATAATTTTACTCTTGTGATTGGAATGGTACAGGATAAAAAGTTAACAAAAAATACTTTGGACAGGTGCCACCATTTTGTAGTTTTCTTTCAATAAGCCTACACTATAGCTAGTCAAAAGAACTACACTACCCACAAGCCAACAGTGCTTCCGGCCACTGCTTTCTGCCGAAATAGAGGGAAAGTTTTGTAACGCAAAGTAAGAACGATCTACCTATTAAGCTCACAGAACTGGCAGGAAAGTCACAAATAATCCTGAAGCTCAGTTATCTACGTGCACATCAAGCTGGACTGGGCGGTGGACTTCGTCGCTGCAGGGTAGGTCTACAGAACCAGAACCCAGCTGCTGATCTGCAGAGTTGGTGAATAAAGTTTTACAGTACTGTACAAAGTACATATACATATGTTGTTAGTATTATGTAGGTTTAAGGAGTTTCGAACATTGTTAAGAGTGTAGGAAGTGTTTATAAAGCCTTAAAATATATAAACACAAAAATAAATACTGGTATAGCATTCTTACTTCGCAATTTTCCACCTATTGCAATGGTGTTTGGAACATTTCCCCACACAATAATCGAGGGACTACTGTACTTATACAAATCAGTTTTGTATTCTAACAGCAATGTGCTGGCCAAAAAACATTTTTAAAAAGAGCCACATCCGGCTCACGTGTCACCTTTTGAATAGTTCTTCTCTGCACGTTCATTCTCTTTGCTTTGTTTCCTCACAATAAGGCATGAAAGAATGAGAGCAAAGCCGGCTCATATCCACTGATGAGGCTCAATAAACCTGACTCCCTCTGCTCTGAAATACACACACCCTTACTGTTTAATACTGATCAGAGCCTTGCAGATGCTCTTTGAAGTTCCTCTTCCATTGCTCATTAATGCAGCCTCTGTCGATGGTCGTGGCTCAGTGAACTGATACTTCTATCACCAGGGGCTTTACAACACGTCCTGAACAGACTGCAAGGGCAGGGAATATCTAATTATCTGTGTGTGTGTGTGTGTGTGTGTGTGTTTGCACACAGCTTTGTATTCACATCAGGAACAGGTCCTTCAGGAAGGATCAGATAACTTCCAGTAACCTTGTATACAACACAGGTACTAGATGCTTGGGTAAAAGTGCTTCAGTGATCTGCTACATTTTAGTACGTCAGTTTTACTGATTGTGTCCTGGTTGATGCTCCATATCTGAGAAGAAGCTGCTGTTTGAGGATGTAATTATGTACAGAGACCCTCTGAGCAAAGTGCCTCCATCAGCACATTGACAGGTTTATAGTGAAATGCTTACAGTCTGATGTTAGGCCAGTGTAATTTCTGTCATGTTAAACAATTTAACATGCAAGTGAGGCCAATTACCAAGCTCCAGCTGAGAGAGATGGGAACATCGTTAAATTTCTGCACACTACGAAATAATCAAAGTTCATGGACAAGAAATGAATTGAAGTCTATCCAAGTATCAAACTAAAAATCAGATTTGGTTTTGAGAAACTGAACGATCTGTCAACTTTCTCCAAAGAAAAGCACGTTTTGTCAATTTTTTTTACCTAATATCTACATTTTACCACAATGAATAAAACAAAACAAAAACAAGTGAATATTATAGTTACTTTCAATTAAAAAAAATCAAAATTCAAAAATACTTTATTAATCCCAAAGGGAAATTATTTTGTTGTTATAACTCGTTATCCTCATTTCATTAAGAGATGTTATAGATACTGATGGCTGTAGACAGGAAAGATCTCTTGTAAAGGTCCATCCCACAGTGGATCCTAAGAAACTGGCTGCAGATGCCGTCCGATCCGTCCACCCAGACTCGGCTGGCCTCTCAGTTCCCCTGGACTGTAGGACCGCTTGAATGTTGGGCTGAACTCCTCCCAGAGCGATGGCCACTCCTCCCAGCAGTCTGCTGAGCTCCTCATTGCTGTGGACAGCCAATTGTAGGTGCCGAGGGACGATCCTGTCCTTCCGCTGTTGTGAGCCATGTTTCCTGCTAGTTCCAGGATCTCAGTGGTCAGGCACTCGAGCACAGCTGGCAGGTAGATGAGCATGCGTCCACAGAACATCCTTTCAACTCATTTGAGAGTTGGGGCCATAGTTGAGATATTATTTGAGCTTTTGACATGTTAATCAGCTGCTGTTGTTGTAGAAAACAGCCTTGTTGCCATGGTTACGCATCATAACAAATGTCCAAAACTTAAAAAGTTTCAGTAAAAATCCTTCCAGCTGCACAACATCTGATACCAGAGGAAACAATCATCCAAAAAATGTGATTTACATCCAGAAAACCAGGAATTAAAGTTTCCAAAAGCAAAATCTCAGAATGAAAGTAACAGAGCTGCTCCAACATGCAGCCACCTTGAGCGGCGCAATTCTTGCTATTTATGCTACAGAAAACAACTGAAATATAAAAAATAGCGATTGAAGGTAAAGCCAAGATACTAACGATAGTATTTTACCGAGTTGGGACTGTTGGAGACTTGTTAGTGAACTGCATTCACGAGTCTCTAGTCTAGAAGATCCTGAAACATTCACAGGGGGTCTTAATTTTCTCATTTGAGTTGCAGAGGCTCACAGTTTTATCGCTCAAGTTTTCAACATGTTTGAAATTTTTCTGCGACAAATTTTCTCTTCAGTCAGAGTAATCGCAAACCCTTCTCAAGAATGCTAAAGCCGTATTTTGACACTCACACACAGTGGGGCGACTGTGGCTGAGTGGTTAGAGCAGCTGTCTTCCAATGGGAGAGTTGGGGGGTTCGATTCCACCAGCAGTCACATGCTGAAGTGTCCCTGAGCAAGACTCCAAACCCCTTATTGCCTCCAATATGTGTTCCATTGGTGTACGAATGTGATCTAAAGCTCTGATTAGTCTCTACAGATTCAGATTAACTTTGTAGTAACTTTGATTAACTATTTAGTAGAGTGCTGTATGAATGTGTGTGTAAATGAGGGCATAAATTGTGTTGTAAAGAGCTTTAAGTATCTTGATTAGATAGAAAGGCCCTATATAATTGGGGTGGCTGTGGCTGAGTGGTTAGAGCAGTCATCCTCCAATGCAAGAGTTGGGGGTTCGAATCCACCAGCAGTCACATGCTGAAGTGTCCATGGGCAAGACACTGAACCCCTCATAGCCTCTGATGTGTGTCACAGTTTGTCCCATTTTTATTTTATATCTTGATATTAAAATATTTATAGTGTATCAAGTCATGTACAAACAGTAGTGTTTATATTACAACAGTTTGATGCTGTTAGGTAATAGATTTACTGTCAGTTTGCCCAACCATGTATTTTCTTTACTTACTGCAGCTTTTCTGTGTCCAGTGTTGGTAGAGTTTCGCCCAGTCGCTCGAAAATGGACAATGTCTTAGCAATTGTCTAACAAGGCAATAAGTGATAAACGTAACAATGTGTTAAAGACAACATGGGCACGTCCAATTTGAGATGGTCACTAGAACAACATAAACTCCCACTTTTATTTCCTTACTTGAGCAGAGCTGCTGCAGTCTAACCACAGTCCAAAGCTGAACAAGCAAACTTTTTCAAAGTCCATAAAACGAGCAATATTACGAGACACTGTCAAAACTAAGCCCATATAAAAACAAAAATAATCTGAAGGACTGATTGTAAATCTACATCACTTTGAAAAGCTCAAACTGCTGGGACTGAAAACAAAAGATCACATAGTAATAATAATGTGTTATGTGTTGTCATCATTGTATGTTCCCATACAATGGCGAAATTGGCTCTGCATTTAACCCATCCACCACCAGGTGGAGCAGTGGGAAGCTATTGAAAGCGCTTGGGGAGAAATTGGGGATAAGGTGTACTGCTCAGAGACACCCAGACATGTGCAATGACTGAAGATCGAACCTGGGACTTTCAGGTCACATGATGCTTTAGGTACATCTTCTAAATTATAGTCCTTTTTATCACATCAAAACATGCAAACATGGTAACCATCTGTACTGACCATTCATGAAATTGTATACAACAACTTGGTTTACTGTTCTAAATAGTAAAGTAAGTGCTCTTTATGGTTCCTACGTCACTGAAATAAATAGAAATGTCATCATAAATCCAAGCACTGATTTAAATTATAAATAAATAATCAAACTAAGGCTGCACAATATGTATATAAATAAGTATAGATATTGCAATAACAATGTGTCCAAAATCAATAACATAAGATTCCACTAAATTCCTAATACAGAAACTGATAACATTGCTGCTAACATTTTGATGCACTTTCAAACTTCCTTTTATACAACCTACAGTATATTTAGTAAAGTATTTAGTAGAAAGGAAGGGAACATTACAGAATAAATTAATACAAAATAATATCTATAATAAACGAAACAAAAGAGGAAGAGGTGGGTGAGGAAGACAAATCCCTCTGATACATAGATGGAGCAATTAAGTGGCTGTAACACAAAACTAATGAAAGAAACTGTCTTGGGTGCTGACAGACCCTGATTGCTGAGGGAATATGAAAGTAGTTTCATGCTACTGTACCTAGCTAGAACAAAGAATAATATGAAACCATTCACAGAAGCATTCAGATTGGATTGAAACAATGGCTCTGGGTTGAGAAAATTCTCATTTACAAAACATAAATTAACAGATGATTCACAGGTACAGGATGCTGAAAACTGAGCTTTCACTCATTTACAACCAGCCTGACAATTATACACAGTTACCTACTCAAATGTGGCAATCACAGCATAATAGCACAAATAAATGCTCAAAACCGTACACGTACATGCATGACAGCATTACAACACACAAATATTTTGCTCTGATTGTTTGTCAGTATTCTCATAAAAAATAAAAATATATATTAAATTGAAAGTTTTATAGCCTCTAAACATGCTCTACTTTTAAACCAAAATACTAAAACAAAAGTCCAACCAATCAACTTCCTGATAATTCAATTAGTTTTTTAACCTCATCACCTTACTGCACAGGTTATCCATACAGATATACAAAAGGTTTAACCTCTAAAACAACCAGCAAGCAGCAAATGTTTGCACAGCGTGAGAACAAATACCCCAAAATACAACCAACAGCTTAATTACAGACAGTTCTTGTTTAACAACAAAACTTGTATTCTAACAATCATTAAAAATATAGTTTAAATTGGATAAATAAAAACAAGAAAAACAACTCTCCAAGTGGTTTCCTCCAACCTCAGCAGCAGATACAGAGCAGTCATTACCGTAAGTACAGTTACAACACAGTCTGAGGACCAGAAGCACCTCCATATCCCTCCTCCTCCTCTGACTCGGCTCTCCTGCTCACTGACTATTTTCTCAGACTCACAAGCAGCGGGAGCCAGAGCGAGAGAGGGAAACAGAACAAGTGTGTGTGTGTGTGTGTGAGAGAGAGAAGGCTCACACACACTACAGTTTGCCTCCTGAAGCCCAATGCATTCACAAGCAGGATGGGCTGGATTGGATTTGTAAAGCTCCAAAGCAGCACAGAGAGGACTGCATACTCACACATGGACACACACACACACACACACTGGTGAAAATATATGAACTTACCCTCCATTGAAGTGGTGCAGTTTTTGGAGTCTTTAGGTCCTTTTACTTTGAGGTTCTGAGAGAAACAAAGAGATAAAAAATAAGTTTAAAACATTTTACTTGAATTTTTTGGTACAAGCTCTGGTCTAGTCAGTACTAAAGTACAAATATATCTCAAGGTAAGGTATTACCAGTATACTTTGTACATGTAAAGTAAAATGGCCCTCTGATTATAATAAAGCGGATAGCTTATGTGATTACAGTAGTCCCTCGCTACTTCGTAGTTTGTTTTGCGCAGACTCGCTCTATCGCGGTTTTTCAAAGTAAGATTGAGCATGACACACAATTGGATGATTGATGGATGAGCTGCACAATTGGCATGAATTTTTTATTGAAAATAAATTATTTTAAATTATTTAGCAACTGCTGCACAGGTCTGTGTGCAGCCTGCAGCCACGGAGAAGCTCTCTCCTCATATCTCTGCTCTGCAACAGAGAAGTGGGCGTGGCCAAGAGTGCTGGCAGGTGGCAGAGAGCTGAAATCATGACATGCTGTG